GGAGGGACAGAGCAGGAGAGGAAGACCCTTGATGAGATGAATTGACTTAGTGACTGAAGTAATAAGTGTAGGTGTGTCAGAGACAAAAAGATTGGCACAGGAAAGAGCAGGGTTTAGGGCTGTTGTACATAGGGTTGCTATGAGTCACAGGTGACTCAACGGAATATAACAACAACAGCAGCAATATATACCCAAGGGGTCAGTGTTGGGTCTGTAGCAGACTTCTGGAGATCTGAGTTTGATTCCCCATCAATTCACCTCACGTGCAGCCTTCAACTATGTCATGTGGTGGCCTTTCTGTTGGTATGAGGATGACCAGATTTCAGTTTCCAAAGTAAGATAAAGAAGAAAGGGCTGGCAATGTACTTCCAAAAATCAGCCCATGAAAGCCTCATGGGGCACAACGCTCTGACCGCACTGTCCGAGGGGCAGCAGGTGACCAGGGCCAACTCAACAACAGCTGTAAGCCTAACAATACGTATGCTATTGTTGCTGTTGTGTGTCATTGCGTCAGAACCAACCCAAAGCAAACTCTTCAGTGGGTTTTCAAAGGCAGTTAACCACACGAAAGGACCCTGCCCATCTCTCACCCACAGAGTTGTGGGAGGATTTGAACTGCTTGACTTCGGGATGGCAGTGCAGCTTCTTAGCACTAGGTCACCAGAGCTCCATTAACAACATGTGCCGTCAGACCTCGATTTTGTTTTCAAAAGACTTATGTGTGCAGGCAAAACAATGTCAAATTGTACTAAAATTTTAGAAAATTAAATACTTCAAAAAATTCACAGAAAAATTCTGTAAAAATACAACTAACACTTGCAAAGGCAGTATCATTCGCCCTACATGTTGTTGTGGTCTGTTGTTTTTAAAATGTCTTCATGTTTTTTTAGGACAGAGTATAACCAGGGTGTTTCTTACAGGCAAGGAGGTGAAACTTGTCTCACATGCTTTGGGCGTGTTGTTAGGAGGGGTGAGTCCTTGGGAAAAGGGTGAAGTTCAGAGAAAGAGAGTAAGGCCCCCAGTGAGAGGGAGGGACACAGTAACAGTGACAATGAACTACATCATATCAGAAACTGTGAGGACGGCGCAAGACAGGATAAGGTTCAGATCTGTTCTTCACAGGGTCACTGTGAGTTGAAGTGGACTTGACGGTCCTTCACAACAATCACAATATATTCTTCTGTGCTTTCTAAATGTTCTAGAATAAACCTACATGCTTTCTATAATCAGAAAGAGGCCAAAAGGTTATTAAAATAATTTAATGGAACCATAAATCACTGAAATAGATTGCACCTGCCGACACAGCACAGAAGACACACTTTCACTTGCAAATTTGTCCACAAACTTGGGTGAACACGTACGACTTCTCCAATTCAAAGTGAGCTACCCATTACCCACAGACCTTCAATTTAAAAAAAAAATAACTGGAAGCAGCTCACTGGACCCCTTGCCTTGGAGCTCTGGTGTTTCCCGGTTGCTCCTGCTCCCCGCTGTCCCCACCTGAACCACCGCCACCTGACCCACCCCACTGGCCCACGTGAGCATGGGGCTTGGGGCACTTGAGTTTTATTGGATCTGTTGCGCCGTTTGATGTTATTCACACATGTGAAATGTGGCACTAAATACCTTTTGAATTTGCCCCGTAAAAGACCAAATTCAGAGCATTCATGAAAACAATTTATAGTTTCATTATACGCACTGACATGAGTACTTTGTCATCTTGGAGGGGCACACAAAGCCCAGAGAGGATCCGCACTCTGGTGCCACTGGAGTCAAAGCTCTTTTATGGACAAGAAGAATTACTCCTACACAGTGCTTGCTCGGGACTGACTTTGTTAAGTTCAATTTCAAATAAATGAAAAGAGGGAAAGAGAATTTGGGGCATTAGCACATTTCTTTTTTTTTTTCTCCTAAAAAAATAAAAAAGAAAAGAAAAGAAAGTAATTGCCTCACTTTTAAAACAAAGGAAACTGGAGTTCTGAGCAGGGACACCTCCACCTTGCATGCGTTTTTATTCCTGGCAGTAATGAGGTTGGAACCCTGCCGTAAAACAGCCTGGCTTCCAGACGTTGACATTGTCTTCATGGCAGAGAACGGATCTCTTGCCACAATGATTTCTCCAGAGACACACCCCAGAGGAGTAGATACCAGAGAAGAGAGGCTCAAAAATCTAAACCTGCACTGTCCTAAGGGAGGTACTGAATTTTCACAAGAAAAAGACAACAAAACATCTGCACACAATTTAACAGATCTGCTTTTGGAAGCAGGAGTGGCATCCACTTCCATAAACAGCCTGCCTCCCTTTGAACCTGGAGAAAGGATGAAAAGTTGTGCACGTAAGTGTAGAGGACTTTCATTCATAGGGTCTCTACGAGTCACCTGTGACTCGACGGAACTGAACAACAACAACACCCTTGCTCCAAAATGGCTAGAACTGTACATAGACAGGGAAATACTAGATGTTTAAGCTGGATTTAGAAGAGGCCATGGCACCAGGGAGACAGCACTGCTGATGTCAGATGGAACCCACTGGAAATCAAAGACTACCAAAAGAATGTCTATTTGTTATTGACTATGTAAAGGCAGTTGACTGTGTGAATCATAACATACTATGGCTAAAATTGAGGAGAATGGGAATCTCATAACATAGAGAAGAGTTGTGTTCACACAAACACCTAGACCAAGAGGCAAGAGAATATTTAAAACAGTTTCAGATTAATAATGCTGTCTGTCAGGGTTGTATCCTTTCTTCATACCTATTCAATCTCTACACTCAGCAAATTATTCGAGAAGCTGGACTCTATGAAAAAGTATGTGGCATCAGGATCAGAGGAAAGCTCATCAATAACTTTTGTTATGAGGATGACACAATCTTGCTTGCTGACATGAGGAGAACTTGACACACTTACTACAGCAAGTTAAACACTGCATCACTCAATATGGATTGCATCTCAACATCAAGGAAACAAAAGTCCTCACCATTAGGCAGCATCATGATAGAGAAAAGATTAAGACTGTCAGTGAGTTCATCTTACGTGGATTTACAGTCAGTACATTTGGTACCAGCAATTAGGAAATCAGAAGACATAGTGCATTGGAAAGTCTGTAGTCAAGGACCTCTCCAAATTATAGAGCTTCAGTGATGACAGTTTGAGGATTAAGGTGTGCCTGATACATGTCATAGTCTTGTCAGTCACTTGCTATCCTGCTGAGAGCTGGACAATGAATAAGGATGACAGAAGAGTTGATTCCTCTGAAGTGTGGTGTTGGAGAAGAGTGCTGAATATATGTCTTGGAGAAGGTGCAGCCAGAGTGCTCCCTGGAGGCAAAGCTAATGAAGCTTTGTCTCACAATCTCTGGACATGTCGGTAGGAGAGATTATTCTTTGGAGAAAAACATCATATTTGGAAATGTGGAAGGACAACGAAGGACAGGAAGACTCTCAACCAGGTAGACTGACTCAGAGACTGCAGAAATGAGCTTGAGAGT